TTATATTTTTCAAAATAAAATCTCTCAATTTGTAACCCACTCATATAGGTACGGTTCTTAATGATGGTATCGATGACTAGAGTCCCGTTGCTGGCCACTTCAAAGATCACTTCATCAGTTAATTCTCGGGTCTCCTCGCGCAGCAATTTGTCCACTGCCCAGGCATACAGCTTTACCGAATCGTATAGGTATGCTGCATAGATCGATATGAACTAAAAATGAATTTGTGAATTGGTTGTGTGGAAGTTCCTCTCTTTTTGAGTTCATACCTTGCTAAAATTACTTTCAACGAAGAGCGGTGGAATCAATAAGTTGAACGGAGGTTTTGAGCTGTACTTTTGCACTTGTTCAGTAAACTGTATGTAGTCCTTCGTGGGGGGCGTGGAGGCCACTACGAGCAGACTGCGGGCCATTTGATTAAAGTTTTCCGTGCTGTGGCAAGTCGACATGTGAGCTATTTGATCCACTTTGCGCAAATACTTTTCCGCCTCCCTGGAAAACGAATTCACATATAAATTTTGAAACCATTGCCAAGGGATCACTCAAAATTAATTACCTCTCGGAATAGACCATCATGTCGACAAAGATCACCATATACTCGCCACGAGCAAACAGGCCGGCGGTCTCCATAGAGCGCATAAAGTCTACAAGACTGTTGGCGCCCCCCAAAAATACGTAGATACGTGTACCGTTCATCGTGTTTTGTACTAGCTGTTACGAATTCATGAATAGGTACTTATTAAATAGGATTCCAATTAACTTAAAAATCCATACCTGATACCAATACCCGGATCGACAGCAATCCATCATCTGCTCGCAGCACTTGGCAACATTATCGATAAACATCTGCGTGTGGTTTATAGTCATATTTCGCTTAGCGGCCTGAGCCTTAAGCAGTTCAGCCACCGGACCCCACACATCCTCGTGCAGGATGGAGAACTTGTTCCACGCATAATATCGCAGGAGGGCTAGCAGCGACTTAACGACCTGAAGAATACGAAATGTAAAGTGCGCCATGTGAGTTGTGCGTCAAGACAAATGTAAAAGGATTTAGAGGAATGTGTGGAGCGAGCACATATATCATGGTCTGTTGTTTTAGTTTTGGATACAACTAAGGGAAAAATAATAGGAGCTCTAAATTAAAATTATTCTACCTACTTATTACTTTTTCTTCAATTATGTGTATATGCATACAGCTTAAGTAACGGGGTAAAGAATTGTACTTTCACGTATAAATTTAAGATTTAAACTGATTATTTAAATATAATTTGAAATATCACGTCCGCTGTACTCGTTTAATAGATATTACTTAACATACGAACATCAAAATTTCAGCCAACTAAATTGCTTATGTTCTTATTAAATACATTTTGCATTTGTGACCGCAATGGTTAGACATTGCATTTTCTCTTATCTTGCGGGTAATCGTGTGCTTCTTTTGTCTTCTCAATTTTGCCGTTTGTTGTCCCCGGTTTGAGGATAATCCAAGGCTAAATAGCTGTCCCTGTCAAGTCACAAAGCCACCGCAAGGGGTGGCCCATCCATCCACCTGTTGCCCACTGTGCTTACTCACCTGCTTGTCTGGCGGTTCGGTGCGGGCGAATGTCGGTATGGCGGATGCACGGTACTCTGCACATTTCTATCGAAAAGGGAAAAAGGGAAGAACCGCGGGGAAATAAGAAATTAGTTGCATGAAAAATGCGATGCGTGAAATTGTCTGCTGCCGAGATACGACGTCATAAATCAGGCCCTCAAAATACATACATAGGAAATCATTGGAATGTTTCTACTCTGCGAAACGATGGCCTCCACATAGCAAGGTCCTTCCGGTCCGAAAATGGTAGCGATGCCATCGCATATCATCTCGGTGATGGCTTTGGTGGCGAGTACCGTGTCCCCTTTGGTGTCATTCCAGCGCAGGTCCAGCATCACATTTGGCAGCAGATTGGGATCCTTGTTGACCTGTGGCAGAAAAAACGATACGAGTTGTCATATTCGAGATATCTTTTGGAGACCAAAAATAGGAAAACACTTCATTTAGCATGAAGAGAATTTTATAACTATTATTGCTGAAAATGGTTTTTTACAAAAAATTTAATTTAATTTTTAAGGATTGAATTGGAACACCTTTGCAGTCCATGTTTGTACAATGTGCTGTACATTCTTGCCATTAATATTGTTTGAGTTCTGTGTGGCTACCACTTTGACACACCTCGCATTGACTGATTTATATATAAAACTTATTCCACTCCAGTACTTACCTCATCCAGGGCCATAGTCAGGGCACCGGATATGGCCAGTCCCTGGCGCGTCTTGAGCTCGCCAGTGAGGGCCGTTAGGTAGCCGACTGTGAGGTGATGTTTGCTACAGTCGCATACTGCCACCGACAGCAAGAGTATAAGACTAAAGGGCCAACGCGTCATGGCCCCTTAGGCCGGGGCCGTTCAGCGCGACGCCTATGGGTCCCAACAGATTCTCACACTGAAACGAAAGGAAGAGAGATTAAGGATCAGACCAGGGACCAGAGACCGAAACTAAGTGAGGATGCAATTGAAACTGCCAAGGACCCCTTTGCATAATAAAATGCATGTTTGACAAAGGCAAACACAAATAGAAAACGGCATTCTGAACGCATTTCAGACACTTGGCTTGATTCAGATGAAAGAGCTGGAAGGCGGAGAGAGGAAAGCAGGCCAACTGGTACACAGAGAATAATTAATATCATTGTTTAGAATTTTCATATTGTTTTATTGATCATGGCTAGAAATCAAATGTAAACTATATAATTCAATCAAAATTCAAGTATTTATCTGGTTAGTGTGGTGCAAAAAAGAATCTTTAATGAAGCAATGCGAATTTTTCTCTGTCCATCAATAAGCTGCAGCGACTGGGACCCGACAAGGATGCGGAGTGAAAGAACGTTAGATGTGCTCCTGCAGCAGGATGCCAAGCAAGTGCCCACGCAAGCAAATGTCAAATGTTGGAAAGGCAAACTTCAATATCGTTGACCAATCGGCAGCCAAAACGAGCGTAGGAATTTTTTAATTAGTCCTTTCAGTTCTTTGGCAAGAGTTAGGGGACAAATCACTGATAAGTAGCTTACTGGAGAGGCCTCCTTTATCCCGGAATGCCATTTATCCACCCACATGGACCCCCGTAATGCTGTGTGCACAGCTTGTTATTATTAATTATGCATGCGCTGATTTTGTCATTATGCAATTTCGTTTGAGGCATTAAATATATATATCGCTGGCTATTTTGTTCTGGCATTTGTTTGTTATTATCCCTGCCCACGCAAACACAACCTCACCCAAGCGAGCTCCTGGCATTGTCCTGATTGTTTGCGCTGAAGTGAAAGCTTATTCCATGGGATTGGATTACGGAACTGTTCGGTTGGATGATGTCGTCGTTCATCGTTGTTTGCCTTTTTTTAACAGGCTCACGTGTAAGTTTAATTAAAAGAATAAAAGATATACGAAAGCGAGTATTAAACGGAATGGTGTGGAAAAATTTAATTATAAGTCTGCCATTTAATTCAGTTAATTTTAAAGAATTTGTCTCTCACTTTAATAATTACAATCAAACTTCTCCAGCATGTTCCGGCAAATAAGTTCGATTTATAGATTACATTTTATGACCTTCTCAACTCTCCATTGCCAATAAAACTAGTTCGATTTATTTTAAGAAGTCATCGCCGAATATTAAACTGATTTTGTGTTAATACGATCTTTTCATGAAATAGGTAAAATCACGTATTCATAAAAAAACCGTTACAGGAATTCAATAACACACAAATGTTGGCTATGATTTCAGCCACAATGCATGACGTGGTTAATTTCTCAGCGCGATTTATAAACTACAATTCGAATATTTGTGGTGGCACCTCACTGCTAATATTATTTCAAGAGGTCATCTGTTTCGAATATTTTTTAGTTCATGCTTTCTTACTTAAAATTATCAATTAATGGCAAACTATATTTACGTTCATCAAACATTTTCAAATTATAATCAATTTTATAACCAACCTTTAAGGCAAACACAAAAAATGTTAAAATATAAATTGTGGAGAAACCTAATTTAAGCGTCTAAGAAAGGAATGCCGAAGATAACATGTTTTAGTAGTGTATATTTTATCTTCCTCAGGATTTCGAAGATTTCAATGATAACTAAGAACAAGATATCTCTGTTTTTGCCCATTCAGCATGGGCTGGCAATCTTTTGAGCACTTCAACCTCAATCAACAACAATCGAAGCAATGCTCACGCCGCCATAAATTAGCATTTCCGACACACTTCACATACCATATTTGTTTCTTGAAGCTGTTTATATTGGCGAATGTTGCAATTTAAAATTAGAACTTCTTGGCCAGGCTGGCTAATTTTGGGCGCCACTGTTAAATATTTACGCACCATTTTGACACAATGCGAATCGCGTTTCCGAGAACACGAGCATAATGGAATTTATATATAGTTGAATTGCGGCTAAAATGGAAATCTACTTTTCTCAGAATTTAGATTAGCAGATCTGTTAGAGAGCGGAAAAGAAAAAAAATTTAATATTTCTGCATATTTTATGTATTTTGTTGCATCTTTAAGTAAAACATCTGAAAAGCTTAGCTTAATAGTTGTGTGGGCTCCTTTATTGAAATTAGAATTATGAGTGGCGGATATGAGTGCATACCTTTTGAATACCAATTTTTCACCCGGGTTATCTATCAAACAAATCACCTCCCGTGGATCCGCGTATGATGTGTGTAGTTTAATAGTTTATGACACCGTTTTTAACTAAAGTAACATCATGCTCTTTAATACTACAATACTACAAAGATGCAACCCCTTTTCAAATTGCGTCAGTTACGAAATTTGTTAGATGATCAGATCCCCGTCGGTCTCAAATCTCACATCATGTTCGTTATTTGTCAGTTGTTGGTCTAGAAATTTTTTGTTTTTCCGATTCGAAAGTTTTCACCTTTACCCGTCGAACGCTCCTCCGGCAAAAGACACTCAAAATTCAATGTTTGCTTGAAATCCAGAGCCCGACCTTATAGTGTACTGGAGAGGAGTCGCCGCCGTTGTCGCTGGTGCACCGAAAACCTGAGTTCGATTCCGAATCCGAGGGTCTAGTGCTGCAAACGGGGGGATCCCACATCCATCTCCATATCCACACGTTCGCCTTGAAGCCGAGGGGTCGTCGCACTCGTGAACTATGTGACAGCGGCACTTCGGGGACAAAGCCAGGGCCGGGTTTACCACTGGGTCTCCGGAGCAACAGGAGCCGGAATCGCAGCCTGAGATTACGACGCCGCAAGACACAGGATCCGAGGAGCACCAGCCGATTCCCGGGCGATAAAGGACCCGGCGCCATGGCCATTCACGAGCAGATCGACAACCTCAATATCTGGTGGTTTCCGCGCGACTTTTGCCAGTCGCGCTTCGGCGAGTTCCAACAGAGCGGCACCAACTCCTGCACCCTCATTTCTCTGATCCTGGCCGACAAGGTGGCCAAGGCGGAGAGATTCTATCACAGGGTGTCCGATCTGCCGATGCGGGGATGGGAGCTCTTTGGCAATGCCATGAACGACGGGAACAATGTGTACCACAACGTTATCACGGCCAACACGCCCCAGGCCAGGAATCTAAACCTCAACATTCCGGATGCGATCGCCGCCATTCGGTCGCAGCACAAGATGAATTTCCGGCTGGAGGAGTGGTTCTACACGCACATGGAGGCGGATCCCAGCAGTCCGATGTACAACCGGAACGTGGCCGTGCAGCTCTCGCGGATTTTCCAGATCACCCTGCAGGTGTTCCAGCAGGCCAGCGTGCGGGACAACATGCCGTCGCACCTTTTCGCCGCCATCATCGCGGACAGTCGAACGGTGATGGTAACCTTCGATTTTCGGGCCTCGATCGTCGCCCTCTTCGACTCGCACCAACATGGGCGGGATGCGGGCGCCGTCTTCGCGCAGTGCACGCTTCAGAACATGGACGACCTGCTCTTCTGGTTCATCAGCATGCTGCACAACGTCTACTCCAGCCGGCCCTCGCTCTTCGAGATCTCCTTCCTGAGTTCGCAGCCCGGGGTGGCCAAGCGCATCCCGCCGGCTATCAAAAAGATCGCCGGGGATCTAAAGAAGCCGGTTAAGATGAACATTCCCAGGCCCTCGCATTAACCATCATGGCAATTGAAATCCATCCAGTACACATCCCCCTTTAATGGAGACCAGCCTCAGCTCGGGCGCACACTTCGGACTAGATAAAGCCATCCAACGGACCATTAAAGATCAAAATCTCAAGTTTCATACAGCCAAATTGTCCGTTTAGGCGTTTAGAAATGAAATTCAATATTTTCAGTTGACCATCAACTAATAAATAATGAACACAATTTCTCTTTGTTTTTCCAAAGTATATGTATGAAATTCTTGATTAGCACCAATAGCCGAGACCATCTGAGTCTTTCTGTCTACTAGTCTCTCAGTTTTAAAGCTATTGGAATGAATCTTTCCCAAAAGTCTTCTATCTGTTGCAGGTAGTATATACCTTGCGAAGTTAACTTCTTTCCTTCATTTCGTATGAAATCTTTAAATTTAAATAAGAAAAGCTAACTTCGGCCAGACGAAGCAGATTGACGATCATTACTATTCAATTACAAAATGTTAAATTTCGTATTATTTTGACATCAATTTTTCTTTCCTTCCTTTGGCGGCTATAAAATATTGTCGTACATCGGACATTATTGGTACGTTTAATTCGAAATTCTGAAATATTAAAAAAGAGTTACCTAAAACTGAGAAACTAGACTACTTTATGATGTCGGAAACGTCTCCTTCACTGCGGTGCACGCTTCTGACTGAAATCATAAGACCCATAATGTAAAAAAAGGTAAAATTTTAAATATTAAATACAAATATTTTAAACCATATTCTCTTAATATGATTTAAATCGGTCAAGACTTTTAACAATTACTGCCTGAGTTTTAAATAAAAAAACCATAAAATCATGTTTACCATTGATTTTAAAAATAAAAGTCACAAAAATGCAGGCATATTTGCATAACTTGACCAACTTGGAACTAACTCATTGGTGTTCTTAATTTTTTTGTAGCCCTTTACTAAATGGAAGATTTTTTTTAGTAACAAAAATATAAAATTACTGTTATTGTTGGTCTCTGGTTTTCATTCTGAACTAATTTTTAAAATTCCAAAACGCAATTTGTACTTTTACCGCACTTCTGCGCAGCTGGTGAGGTACATATGAACGGATAAAAAGTTCAATTCTAATTTATGCCGAACTAAGTAATGACATTAAAAATTATTTAATTGTGAACACGTATTTACCTTTCCTTGTATGTGCGTTTTTGTTGATATTTGTTTATTTATTATTTCTGTTACCTAATTACACTTGAGTAAACAATTAATTTAAAAGACTCGAACATCTGCGCTGGGGATTTTTCTTCTTGTTGTTGGTTACTTGTTTTTTTTCCTCCCTGCTAACTTAAATTTGAATGGCTTTAAACAAAACACGAAAAACTAGAGTTAAAGTTGAACTTTGTAACGGGAATTGAGTATGTAGTACGCGTGTGTCTCTGCTGTATTTTTCTCGACTTCTAATCAAAATGAGTTAAATAAACACATAACGTAACCTATTAAGAACTTAGTACGTGACAACAATTTAAATATTTATAAAGTAAACAGAGAGTCCGAGAGAGAAGCGGAGAAGGAGAGTCTAAAAATAGAATCAAATATCAAAGAAAATATGAGAAAACAAATCGAAAACCGAGGCGCAAGACGTGATAAAACGTTTAACGTTAAATGTGAAAAGCAGCCAGAGAAGTCAAAACAGAGAAATAGAGAACAAGAGAGAATTAAAGGAAGAAAGAGCAATGCAACTGAGTTGTAATCAACAAACAGCTACAAGTTGTGTAATATGAAAAATATCGCGTAGCCGCAACGTGGGACGTATATTATATGATGCTCTTCCCCTCTCTCTCTCTCTCTCTCTCTCTCCCTTTTGTTGCTCTCTTAGTTTTTCCCTCACTCCATCTCCCTCTGTCTTTCTCACAGCGCAACAAGTTGCAGTGGGTTTTTTTTAGGGCGGGGGAGCCGCCTTTATTGCACTTTTCAGCCGAAGTTGTTTGCTGCTGCACGTGTGTATACACATACTGACATACAAATTGTCTGGCTGTCTAAAAATAAAACCTGCATACTAAAAATAGAAACCAGACGCAAACACAACAATCCATTGGCCAGTGGATAAACCAACACGACATTACATATTTCAACAAACAAACATCACCAAGGGGTTTCCCCGGAGGGGGCAGTGATTTTCGAGAAATAAAAAATGTGGGCCTCCCAAGGGGTGGGGGGTAAAAAAAAACACACAATGTGCGTGCCTCAGTCGCCGACAATTGTCATCGACATCTACACGATTGACTCACTGCCGGGTTTATGGTACTACACCACACGCCATACCACCATATTACAAATACATACGTATGCGTATTATACCACATACCAACGATCCATTCTCAGTTTCACTTCCAATTCAATCTCTTCGTCTGTCTAAGCCAGCGGTCGGCACACTCATACAATTTCATTTTGTTTTATATTTGTGTGAGTAAATTGCACGGGGCAGCTCATCAGTGTGTGTGTAAAGACCGCTGTTCTACAGTATACGTGATAGGCAGAGAATGAGCAGAACAATTTCCTATGCTCACTTAATAGGACGCTGCCGACCGCTGGTCTAAGCGATGGTGTTCTCTTGTATTAACATATGTAAGTGTTTTTGCTGAACTCTTAGCTTTAATTTTTTTCCGAAAAAAAATGTCTTTGGAGGTTCAGATTTTATCGGGAAAGGTTTTTAATTATTATGATTAATATTTTCCTTCTGACCTCATTATAGTTCTAATAGATTTTGACTGGATTGCTATTCTTATACAAAGGGACATTTTCTGTGTAAAAAATTACATTTCTGCCACACTTTATTTAACTGTAAGGAGGCTCTAGGTGAGGAATGGGCTACTGGAACTTTCAGTTAGTTTAAAAATCGACCTAAATCACTTCACGCATTTTGTTTTGGTTGTAGTGTATGGAATAAAAGTGTAGCTTGCTTTTAAGAAGAAATCATACCTCTCATTAAGCCTAGAGTGCTCTCTATATGAATCCATTCAAGCACGATGCGTGACAATCTAAACATTTAAAAGTGAATTTTAGACGGAAACCAAAAATTTGCAACTTATTTTCAACATTAAAAAACTTAAAAAAAACATCTCGAACAGAAACTTAATATTTAAAAGTAAGCCTTGAAAAATTTCAAATTCCCTTGCTAGAATCTATTTATTTTCAATTTGCGAGTATTTGTTATTTGTCTCGGTGGCAATCAGTTCAAGGACATTCCCCCACACACAGAAAAAAGCCCATTTAAATCCTCTTGCTGCTATCAATCATCAACAAGTTAACCCCACAAAAGGGCACACCAACAAAACCCTTCGCACAAAAACTGTCACACAATGAAACATTATCTCACCACACACAACACCCACACGTGGAGGGCCTCAGAAAAAGGGTTCAAAGGCCCCTATAAATGGGCTGAGCAGGACTTGTTCGGCCTTAACTGTCCCTCCATTAGTTAGATTATTGGGCCCAAATGTGCAATTTGATTTCATCGGACTTTGAGCCGCTTTCAGTGAGAAAGAGAATGTGTGAGGATAATTTCTAATTAAAAGTGGGGGAAAAAGGACTCCAATTCAGTGATGAGAAATGACGGAGAAGCCTTAAGAGTTTACGCTTCACTGAGCGAGTGAAAGTGGATTTGAGGCTGGACGGAACGGAGCGGGACCCTGTCAAACCGATATGACAAATGAATGGCCATCTTGGCCTGGTCATAGGTGCTCCATTGCCGCAAGGACACTCCGTGCAACAGAACGAAGGAGTGGCATTTCAGGAAGGAGCGGTGGGAAACCGACAGCTCGTGTCAGACGAGCTGATTGCATTGCCTATGGCCAGAAGTAGAGATCACAGGATAGGCGAGACGACAAGGGATATTCTAACACAAGAACCTTGTTCATATTTCTTATAATAATATTCACAGTATACGACAGGAACATTAACCCAATATTGTTGGTTTGAAATCGATTATAAACAAAATTAAGTGTGTTCTCAAAGTTAACCAAAAGTTATATTTTAGAGTTTTAACGAATGGCAATGCTACTTGAATGTATAATGCTATGTTCCGCAGTTATTATATACATACATGGGAGAGCAGTTTAACACATATACTAGAACGTCCCTGCCTTCCCATCGACCCCTGCAATTAAGTTACAACACAATAAGTTAATTCATTTGTTGAAACGTCCCTCATTCTTTATTTTCCAAGCACTTCACTTTCCACCTTTTTTCCAGCCTCTTTCAATCCATGACTCGAATTGAAATCAGGCATCCATACCCAAATACAACCAGCATTCAATTTGTTGAATGAATGTAAATGAAATCCACAGCGATAACAATTTAAAGTAGACATATTCGTAACCTATAATGTCCGAAAGGAAAACTCTAAGGGCCGGTTTTTTCGTCCACAGGTTATGTGTAAAGTAGGTTAAAAACTTTAAAAAGGTATGAAAATTCAGAAAATACCGAATTTTTTTTATTAATTCAGATTTAAAAACAAATAAAGCTTGTAGTGATTAGTATCACTTTTTTATGTTGGAATAAATAAAGAACATATATAATTAATTTTTTCTAAGAAGCTTTAAAGCTTTATTTATTTACATATTCAGAACTTTCTTAGAGGCTTTATATCCTTTAAAAGCGTTACTGAGTGCTTACTCTACGGAGCTAACCTACTGCTAAGGGAGCATTATCATGAAGTGAGACTTAATCAGCCAAATTAAACAAAATTCTCAGCATTGAAGTAAATTTAGTTTCATTTAAATTATGCACAAAATTGTAAACGTTTTGAAGTGGAATTAGTCTTTTGATTCATCACTATTATAAATTATCCAGTTAACCAGCAGACAGTGCTTGCGTGCACTCATCAAAATGAATTCCTCAGTGGGAAAGTGTTTCCATTTAAGATCATTCTCGCTTCACTCAGAAATTGTTAAGGCTCGGTTGAGCGGGATAAGGACCAGAATATGGTGGCAGCATTGTCAGCACATGTGTTACAAACTGAAATTTCACTTTCAAAGAGACCAAAAGCGATGCTGATGATGATGAGACTGTGTTGTGGACAAGGGGAGCTGTAGAATGGCTCCATTGCATGACATGGCCTTAGCTGTAGCTCCAACTCAAGCTCCAGCCCCTCCACATTCCCCGTAACTCCTCCCATATTGAGGCGCCGGTTTGCTGGCCGTAAAAGGAGACGAACCCATGACGGCAGCTTTGGCAT